TGCTGAACCTCAGCCCTGCAGACCCTCCCTCCCCTGACCACGACCCGCCCCAGCCTGTGAACTGCTCCTTTGAGCTCTTGTCCTGCTCTTGTGGTTCAGTTCTGTCATCGGGCAGGGGTGAGGGGTCATTGTCCCCAGCTAGACCTGGAGATCCCCCAGAACAGGCCACCCCGTCAAGGGTCTAAGGTCTGGGCATTTGAGGTGCTCCTTAAAGGTGTGGTCATCACAGTTGGCTTTGAAATGCCTCCACACCGTGGGCTGCTACCGTGGAGGCGCAGGCTCCTCGTCCCTGGGGGAACCATGGCAGGAGCTCTGAGAAGGCCCTGGGACGGGCGAGCCACAGCATGGTCCCCAGCGTGAGGTCCCTGGACTGCTGCCGGTTCACATGCAGTTTGTCACACCCCCGTGATGAGATCAAGAGCTTGCACCAGAGTGTAAACCACCTACGCTACCAACTGCTCGGTTCACGCTGCCAGCGCTATCTTTCCTCCCTTTATATTTTCTGCAAGGCAGACTTCTGATGAAGGAGCAGCGCCTCGTCACACTGGTGCAAGTGCCTGCCCTTGTTACGGAGAACAGCCGTGGCCAGCCACGCCGAGTGGCAGCTAACTGGAGCTTCTAGAAGTGGCAAACCGCTGAGATCTCCAAAGGGTTTCCCTGACAGCAGGAAGTGAAAGTGAACAGAGAATTCTAACGCCCAAAGGAGCAGGTGACCAGGGAAAGTGGGCCCTTGGGTGTGGAGGGTGCCAACATAACAGCAGGCCCCTGTTGTCTTCGGCCAGTTCCGTGCACAGGGGCACACGGCCGGAGCAAGCTCTGCAGGTCACGCTCTCCCCTCTCCAGTACACACATACCAGAGGCCTCTGTCACCCAAGTCGCCGGTCCTCTGCCGTGCCCAGCAGAGAGCCTGGACCAGTGGAAGCCGCGACTGTCCTCTCTAATTTCACCCTCTATCCCGCAGGCTCATCCACTCTCGAGGACTCCCCTGAGCCCCGTGTAAGCACTGGAACCCCAGGCTCCGCCAGCAACCATCTCATTAGGCAGCTCAGAGCTGAAGGGTTCCAGTCCCTTTCCTCCTCCATGTTTTTTTTTAGAGAGATTTTTGTATAGGGCATGAGAGAAAAGGAGACAGAAAGTGAGAAATCAACCCCCAGGGGAATGGCCACACTGCAGTCCCTTCTCCATTCTTCTCTCGGGATTTTGGACACAAGCACACACACACCCGACATGGGTTTCAAACCGCCGGGTCTGGGACTCGAACCACTGTCAACTACGTGGGAGTCCAGTGACGTAACCATTACACCATCTGCTGGTCCCATCTGTGGGTCCTTGATGAGCAGCATATGCTTCTGGGGCCGGGACGAGGACTCATCACCACCATAAAGTCCCTCATGGGGATGTCCACTTTGTCCCGGGCCCTCCTGCTCCCACGGTGGTGAGCTTACAGACGAAGAAGCAGAGCCCTGCGAGTCTGGGGCCCTCGGCTGGGGTTCACGGCTCACAGCCTGACCGGCATGCACACGGCTCTGGGTGCCCCCCAGGGCCCACGCCACGCTCCCGCATCCTCCTCAGCTCCTTACCTGGCCAGACACTTCTCCTCCGCAGCACAGCGCAGGGAGTACAGATGGGCCCGCTGCACGTAGGTGGACGCTTGCACGTAGTTGGGGTCCGGGACCAGGTCGGGGAGGCCTGGAGAGGCAGTGGCGAGGAGCCAGGGAGAAAGCGTGGGCTTGAGAGGGTGGCTGGCCACGGCCTGTGCCGAGACTCCCCAGCTCAAACGTCCTTTGCATCCCCCTTGGGTGTGGGGCTCTGTGCTCAGGTGTGGGGTCAAGGACGTTAGGTGGCCGGAGCTCCTTGGTGGGAGAGCCGCCGAGGCCTCCTGGGAGAGCCGGGAGACAGGGAGGAGTCTGCAGAGCCCAAGAGGAGGAGAGAGGGTGTTCTTGGCAGGGAACAGAGGCCCAGAGGCAGGGCTCCACGGACCAGTAACTTCCTGACAGACACTGCCCTGTCCTCACTCCCCTCTAGTCCCCTGCTCCTCTCAGCCCTGCAGCCTGCAGTTTTGGAAGTGCATGGGGTGGGTCCCAGACACTCACAGCAGAGCTGGTTGAAAACTGGGCCAGGGAGGGAGGGGCCGAAAGGAAATGACCATCCCCCCAGCAGGTGCCGAGCTGTCAGGACGCAGCCCGGGTGACCCACTCGGCCTTCCCAGGATGCCTCTCTTCTGGCCCCTCATCTGTCGAAGCCTCCTCCCCCCACAGGCCTGACCACACCCTCCCCTACAGGGCCCACGTCAGTCTGGACCCCGCTCCAGCCCCGCGGTCCTTGTCCCAGTGTGTGCCAGGGCCCGGGTCTGCCCGGCAGCTCTGCCGCCTCCACGTCCCCAGCAGGACAGCCCCGGCTGGGAGTTCTTAGGAGGAAGCAGAAACCAGACCCAGGTGTGCGGATGCCCCATTGCTAGATGGGGAAGAGAGACTCAATATGGTGGTGGAGGGGCCTGGGGTGGGTCAGGGAAGGGACCCCGAGGGCCTGGGCCTTGTCCTGGCTTGGCCTCCAGCTCAGAGGGGAGCGGGCCTCAGGTAAGCAGTGATGTGAGTCTGTCCTCCTCTTAGCTCTGTCCAGCCCTCTGCTGCTGAGCTGGGGAGGCCAGAAGCAGGCTAGGTGGGGGCCGGAGCCCTGTGCAGACCCACAGCGCCTCGTGTGGCCCAAGGCCTCATGTCAGCTTTTGTGCCAGGATGAGGCAGAGGGGTGTCTTCACCTCGGACAGATGTGTCCACCCGCACCGCCGGGCACACCCACTCCCCCGCCTGCCCTCCCAGGGAGCCGGGTCCTGGAGCCAGAGTGACCTCACCTACTTGGAATGGGAAGACACTTGGAATATGGGCTGGGTGACAGTGAGGTGGTTCCTGGCTGATGGGGGACTTCTTGGCCACCTCAGCCCCATGACCCAAGTAACCAGGAATGTTTGCAGTCGTTTCCCAGGGGACCCTCGGGCCCTCACACCAGCCAGAAGCTGACTTAGCTCTCTGGTCCCTGGAGCCTCTGGGGAAGGGGCGAGGAGGAAGGGTGATCCCTCCCCACCCTGGAGTGCCTTCCCTCAGTGGGCTGAGGCCTGCGGGAGCCAGCATCGCCACCCAGCCTGCCGGCCGCCCCAGGCCCACTTCAATAACCATGGCAGGGATGGCATCGCGCCTCTGGTTGGACCCTCCCTCTCCAGGCCGAGCATGGGGGAGGCTGGGAGAGCCACCTGGGAACAGGCTGGGCACTTGGGCCAGAGGTGAGCCCTGACCCTGGTCACAGAGGCTCGACACAGCAACAGCTCCGAATCTGTCTCCGAGCTGTTTCTCCCCCGATGAGGGGCTGCGTCTTCGTACTAAACAGAAACTCAGCCGCTGAAAAAAGACTCGCTCTACAGTGTCGGTCCCTTTTGACTAGCTGGGTCAGCTCTGTGGCTCCTGAGCTGAGCGGGGGCATTGGTAGAGAGCCCGAGGACAGACAGCATGGGGCTACTGGTCACATCTGAGACAATGACTGTCTTCCTATTGCTGACCCAGGCTCAGCAGGAGCCTTTTGCTCCAGGAAGGTCTCCCTGATTGACAGTGACAACCCAGGCTCTACGTCTGTCTCCCTACCCAGTTTGTACTGATCCTTAATGAGGTCTCGAATCCACCTGTGCATCTCTGTGTACTCACCAGAGAGACAGAGAGATACAGAGAGACAGAAAGCGAGAAATGGTCCCCAAGGGGGAATGGCCACGCCACAATCCCTTCTCCTCCATTCTCCTCTTGGGATCTTGGGCACACATGCACATGCACCTGGTGTAAGCTTAAGCCACCGGGTCCGGGACTCGGACTACGGTCGACTACATTGGGAGTCCAGTGACATAGCCATTTCGCCATCTGCTGGTCACGCCTCTTTTCTAAATAATCTAACTTTTAGATGGTGAAACACATCGGTTTTAGGTGTGTGGTTTGGTAAGTCCTGAGAAATGCTGCATACGCCACCTTCACCAGGGCCAGGCCTGCCCTCCCCACCCCCCAGGCAACCCCCGATGGCCTTTCAGTCACCCTAGATGAATGACCCCTTTCTGGAACTGACCCGAGCCTCTTGCCATGAGTTTTTCACTCCCTTTGTTCCCAGCCTCCGACCATCACAGGCCTCCTGCCTCACCCCTTTCTGTCCCCCTCCACCCTGGCATGCCCCTCAGTCCTGGGAGCTACAGGAAGAGCCCAGCCCTGGGTTTCAGGGGACCCCACCTCCCTGTAGGATCCCCTGCCGAGGTCCCAGGGATCAGCAGGCCCCCTCCCTCGCTGGTATGTTTTTCCAGGAAGGAACAATGCCTCCTTCTCCAACTGCTCTCCTCTCCCGGGACATTCCGTCAGCAGCCAGGCCTGCAGGCCCAGGCTCTCAGCCCCTCGGCAGGGCAGGGCCTGGTGGAGGAAGGGAAGGGGAGGGTGGAAGAAAGGAGGGAAGGGCTCTGTGATGTTGGAAGGGGGGCCTGCGGGGGCTGGGAGTCCCAGTCTGCGTTTTCTGTACAACCAGGCCCTTCAGGCAGAGTGGCCATTGGTGGGTGAAGTCCAGTTATAACCAGACGGTGTGATCAGCCCCCATCCCAAGAAGTGTGAATTTCAAAAAGAGACCCATGAGGGAGGGTATGTAAGTTTACTCCAAACACAGAGGACCCATCAGCCAGGGCAATGTGATGTGGGGAGGGGTGGGATGCTGTCTCTGGCCCTGGGACTGGAACTGGGGACGCTAAAACATGGGTTCCAACAGGCTTCCTCCCAGAGATGCCTGTTTTCCTAAACCCAGAGACTCTAACAATCCTCAGTTCAGAACAAACTAACTTCTATGCGAAGGCCCTCCATACATGTCCCCCACATGTGTGTGTATACAGTACACGTGTAGTGCATTTGGGATGCATGCGTATTTTTCTGTGTGCACGTGTGAGATTGCATATGTACTGGCCTGAGAGAGACAGGGAGAGGAGAAAGCACCCTGCAGGGATAGTCGCACCACAGTCCCTTCCCCTCTGTCTGGCTGTCAGGGTTCTGGGCACGCACACACAAGCCCCAAGAGCTTCTCGATCCTCTGGGCCTGAGATTAAACCATGTACTTGGCCATGTGGGATCCAACTGCCTTACCTACCAGGCCATGGAGCCGGCCTGCATGTGTATTTTTAAAGTATATAAATGGTAGTCTCATAGTTCTCATTCCGCTTCTTGATTTTTTTGGACCAATGTAAACTTTGCCTGCCTTACGGGCCAGAGGTCGTGTGCTCACTGAGACAGAAGGAGGAGGAGTCACCCCCCCCCCCCAGGGGGGCACCAGCCCTGCTGCCATCCCTTCTCCTCCACCTCTGTACCCTACGGGGATCTAGGGCGTGCGCACACACATACACCTGGCATGTTTTCCAAGCTCCTGGGCCAGGGTGTGAACCACGGTTGGCCACGTGGGATCTGGCTCCCTTAACCCCCAGCATGCTGCCCGTCACGGCTGAGCAGGGCTCCAGAGCGTGTGCCCTCACGCGCCCTTGAGCCGGCCCCCGGAAGGGGCTCAGCCTCCTTGCCGCACACACACTGCAGTAAGTGGCCGTCCTCACCTCTGGGACCTGGTGACCACGCACACCAGCTCCCTGTCCAGCCTCACTCAGCTTTTTCCCAAGCCCCCATGGCTGCTGGGTCTTGCTGCCCACTGGCTGGGCAGATGTGCAGGAGGCCCTAATCTCCCTCAGGGTCCTGCCTTCGGCTCCTCCCTCCTGTCTCAGACCTGGGTGTCCTGGGCCTCATGGCCTCCCTCTGCACTGCTCGCCCTCGATGCACTCACGCCCAGGGCCCTGTGCAGGTCCCTGTGGGCTTCCCTCAGGGGGTCAGGCTGCATAGACCTGGGCCAGGATGGCAGCGACAGGATGGCAGTGGGGGCCCCAGGAGGCCAGAGCCAGGCTGCCTGGCTCCATAGGCACCAGCGCTCTGCTCTTCCAGCAGTGGCCCTGCAGACTCTCCAGGGCAGTGGAGGCACAGAGCCGAGGGAAAAGGCCCATCCTCTGCAGGGGACCCTGGGTCCCAGTGCACTGACTGTCGGGGGCTGCTGTGCTCAAGACAAGCCCACCCTGCCTGTCCTGCTCCAGGCTGCTCTGCAGATGCAGATCAGCTCTACACTGGCCACCGGGACCCTGAGGGTGAGGTCTTGTCCACCCCGTCCAGCATTCAGCATTCTGCTGGAGCCTTCTCAAGGTGAAGACTCCAGAAGTGAGTCCTCGGTCTTGCTCTGGGCTGTCCGTCTAGACAACGGGGACAGTGGACCAACTGGCCCTCGAGCACAGGGTGGGTGGACGGGAGAGCCCATGGAGATGAAAATACCTGTCAGGAGCTAGCAGCCATGCACGCTGCTCCCAGCCCTGGGCCGGAGCCCGGGCCCTCTCTCAACCTCTACAGACACCAGGCGGGCAGGAAATTCTCCCGTCTGACCCAAATCCTTCCTGCTTCATTAGAAACTGGCTCTCTCCTGCCCAGTGGTTGCTGGACGCTGCCCAGCACCCAGGGCCTGTGGCCACATTCCTGTTGCTCGCCCACCCTCACCTGCTCCCGCCCCGCTTCTCCCGCCTTCCCTGTGGGTTCTGTGAGCCTTGGCTCCAAAATCGTCCCTCCCCAAGTCATCCACTTGCAAGGAGCAGAGGACAGAGACCGGATTGC